GGCCATAGAGTGCCCTTTTTAGACGATACACATGGTCTGGAAAATGTGGATCCTCAAAGTCTTTAGTTTGTGCCACATAAACTTCCTCTTGCAGCAGTCCATTGAGAAATGCACTCTTGACATCCATCTGGTACAGCTTGATTCTCAGCTTGAATGCAATTGCAAATAGAAGTCTGATTGACTCAAGACGAGCTACTGGAGAAAATGTCTCATCAAAATCCACTCCTTCAATCTGCGAATACCCTTGACCGACCAGTCTGGACTTTTTCCTACTCGGATTCCCATTTTCATCAGTCTTGATCTTGTATATCCACTTGGTTCCAACCACATTTACACCCTCTGGTCTAGGAACTAGATCCCACACTTTCAGTCTCACAAACTGCTCCATTTCCTCGTGCATTGAGGCTGTCCAGAACTCATCCTCTAAAGCTTCTTGCAGGTTTTTGGGTTCAGTTTGTGAGATAAAGCAATCTTCTTTAGCCATTTCTGCCATGAGACATGCGAGTTTGACCATTTCCTTAAAGTCGATTTGCTTTTTCCTTGTGATCCTTGGGTCCAGCAACCCTCCAATGACATCATCTGAAGAGTGATTCTTGTGCACCTTGACTGGCTCTTGTGATGTTCCTTCTTGTGAATCAGCTTCTTCATTTGCACCAATCACCCGGTTTTCATCCTCATTGTTTAGTTGTGGTACATACACACTTCGCTGCGTAACACCATCTTGATGAAAACCAACTCTGTCATCAAAGACTACATTCACCTTCTCATCAATTGTCTTGGTCCTTGAGTTATACACCCGGTACGCTGAGCTGTTCGTTGAGTAACCAAGAAACATTCCATCATCACTCTTGGAGTCGAACTTTCCCAGTGATCTTTGTCGTTTAGAATGTAGCAAAGACAACCGAATACATGACAAAATCCAAGGTTTGGGGTTTTTCCTCGGAGTATCTCATAAGGTTTTGTTTTAGTCTTAGGCGTCACGTACACCCTGTTGATGATGTAACATGCCGTGTTAATGGCTTCTGCCCAGAACATTGATGGAACATGATTCCCGGCTAGCATGGCTCTTGCCATCTCTTGAAGTGTTCGATTCTTGCGTTTCACGACTCCATTTTTCTGTGGTGTTCGTGGTGCAGCATACTGATGTTGAATGCCTTGATCTTGACAAAACCTGTCAAACTGTTCATTCTGAATTTCTCCTCCATGGTCACTTCTAATCTTGATGATTCCACCTCTTTCTTGTTTGAGTTGAAGTGCTAGGATCCTGAAACTCTCGATTGCATCCGACTTATTTCTCAAGAACCTCACCCATGTAAACCTGGAAAAATCATCAACTAACACAAAATATATTGCTTTCCAGCTATACTTTCATGTGAGATAGGACACATGAGGTCCTTTTGAATCAGTTCTAGAGTAGATTTAGAGTGAATTTGAGATACCTGTTTGTGTTGAACTTTGACTTGTTTACCTTGACAGCAAGCACCACATATTGTGTCAGAATGATCTTCAAGGTTGGGAACACCTCGAACTACTTCTGCTCGCACAAGTCTTGAGAGGCCATTGGTGTTCATGTGACCAAGTTTCTTATGCCATAAGTCGATCTGCGAATCTCTTACTGACAGGCATTTGCTCGGTGGTTGACAAAAATAACAGTTGTTGTTTGATCAAAATCCACACATAACAAGATTTCCATTGGTGTTCATGTGACCAAGTTTCTTGGTGATTTCCTTGATCGATCTGCGAATCCTTCTACAAAGTAGACGTTTCTAAGTCTTGGAAGGTCAGCTCTTTCCATATGACCAACTCCACGGATTCTACCTTCTCCACCATCACCAAATATTACTTTTCCTTCTTTGACAGGCTCCATAACTGTCAAGAACTTCTCATTTCCTATCATATGTCTTGAGCAGCCACTATCAAAATACCACGGTATCTCAACAACAGTGTGTTCTTCTCTGGAGGTGAAACCAACCTTGGCGAGACTTGGAACTGCAACAGTGTCTTCTTCAAAATACTCCTCAATTACCACCATATTGCACACAACTTCTTTTCCTGGTCTCTGGATATAGACCTCTGTCTCACTCATCTTGGCAGGTGTTGGTGTTCTGTTTTTGAATTTAGAATACAGATCTGTTTTGGCTATCCACACATGTCCAATCCGGCTTGGTTCAATGTAGCATTTGTGGAGTGACCATGCTCGTTGGTATTGAGCTTTTCGAAAGTAGCAGTATGCAACCCTATGTCCTTGTTTACCACAAAAGTGACATCCATTGCGCCTGTGTGGTACCTGATTTTTCACAGTTGTCTCAACATTTTTCTGGGGTACAACTCCTTTCTCTAACTCAGTACGTGTTTCTGGTGCTCCACTTCTAACAAACTTTACATCCGTTACATCTTTGCTACTTGAGCTTCAATATCCTTGATAGCCTAAACCTGAGGCAATCTTTGGGTTTTGCCCAAGTGAAAGGATATGGTCCAAAGTATCTGATCCATTGTTGAGCATCTTCATCTTCTTGTAGTTGTCACTCAATTCTCTTTGCAATAACCGACTCTTCTCAAGCTCCTCATTCAGCAGCACCATGGCTTGATCATACTTGGTCTCCAAATTTTTCAAAGAATGAGCCTGATCAGTAACGGTTCTTTCAAGCAATTGTATATCAGGACTCTTCTCACTTTCCGAGGTACCAGCTGCAGTCTTTCCTTCAGTACTGGGTATGTCGAGTTCAAGAATGTTGGCTTGTTCCTTGAGCATTGCTTTGTCCTTGATCAACTAAAAATTTTCAAGACTTAGCTCTGTAAACTTGTCAAAGAGGCTCTTGAACTCTGACTTCAGATCCAAGTCTTTCTTCTCGTCTTCATTATCTGAATCTGAGTCTGAACTTGAAGATATATCTTGAGTGTCATCTTGTTCCACACGAGCAACAAAATTAAGCATTAGTTCTTTATCGTCACTCTCGCTTTCTGATTCGGTATCACTGAATGATAGAAGAGCTTTATCTTTCTTTAGATTGTTAGGACACTCACTCCTTGTATGTTCATAACCTTTAAACTCAATACACTTAAGCTTTTTTCTCTTGGCTAGAGACACTCGCTCCGAAAGTGACCAAAACCTTCACATTCATGACATTTTAGGTCTTTCTTGCGATTTCCTCTTCCAGATTCACTTATGTTTTGCTGTCCAGAAGAACGATCCCCTTCTCTACCTTGAAACCGGTTGTTATTACGGTAGTTCCCCTTTTCAACTCTTTTGATTATCTTGTTGAAATTCTTAGCCATAAGACTCATGTTCTCTTCAATACCCTTCACCCTATCTTCTTCTTTGGTTTCTGCTGTGAAAGCAATTCCTTTCTATTCCTTAGTTGTCTCTTCACTTCCTTCCAAATCATGCACCTTCAGAATTCCAACCAACTGATCAAACTTCATTTCATCAGTATTCACAGCAATCTTAAGAACCGCCTTGTATGCTTCAAATCTAGGAGGAAGACATCGCAATACTTTCTTCACAAGTTTCTTCTCATTATACTTCTTGCCCAAGACAGAAGCTTCATTAGCTATAGAGCTGATTTTGGAAATGAAACTTCCTATCGATTCATCATCCTCCATTCTCAGGTTCTCAAATCTTGAGGCGAGATGATCGATTCTGGTCCTTCTCACACTTGTGTTTCCCTTAAAGTGATTGATAAGAGTATCCCATGCTTCTTTAGCAGATTCACATCCTTGAATGTTCTTAAACTGATCAAGATCAACAGCGTAAAAGATGGTAGTGAGCGCCTTCAAGTTGAATTTTGAAGCGGCTTTATCAGAGTCAGTCCATCTCTCCTTTGGCATGGATGCTATAGACTTGTCTTCCATTACCATAGTAGGTGCAGTCCATCCTTGTTCAACAGCAGTCCAAGCATCCTTATCAATAGCCCGTATGATGTGCCGCATCCTTGCCTTCCAGTGTCCAACGTTTCCTTCGTCGAGCATAATTGGCTTTTGCAAAGCCACGAGTTCTTTCATGGTCTCCATGACTGTCGCAGGATCTCAACTTGTGAGTAGACGTACGAGTCTACAGAGGTGACCTGCTCTGATACCAAATGAAAATTCGTATGGATACTACATTAGAACAACTTGAGAAAATCCAAGAAAAACTAACTTGCTTTATTAAGAATCACTTAAACAATCTCACTAGATCTGTTTAATCCGATTCACTCAACGTCACAGCTTGACTTGAGACGGACCAATTCTTAATCTACCCAATGCACAGTGGTCGAGGCAGACCTCACCACTTGCTTACACAGAATCGCAGCTTAGAACACTGAAGCTCGATAATCCCCAAAAATCCCAAAAGCCGTAACCTAGCTAATGAACTCTATCACAAATATGTACTGACGTATCCTATTGTGATAAGTAAAGATTCTCCCAATATCTTCTTGTTTGTTGCCTAACAAACATCCTAGAATCTTGGGTCATTATCTTCCAAACGGCTTCCTTATATTTCGCTCCATGTGTAACACACTCTTTACTTTGTGTGACACATCAGCCTTACGCTCAAACACCCTTGAGCCATCTTGTGTGTAACACAACCTCCTGTTTGTGTAACACACCAATCATCATGCTCAGAATTCTGAGCTTACAATTTCCGCAAAATCTCAACTCTTTTTTTTTCTTCTATGTCTCTCCCTTCTCCTTTACTATCTCCTTCGATTGGTTTATAATTGATGAAATGTGAGTGTATTTTCTTTTTTTTTTGGGGGGGGGGGTTACTGTTGAAATATGCTTGATAAATGGTCATGTGTACATCTCTTGATGGGTTAAAAGTTCATATATTGACTAATACTTGATAAAGTACATGTTTTGAAAGATATATTGACCTCTACTTTGATAAAATTTGAAAACTTTTTTCTGTCTGATTTGTATATCTCGCAAAATATCTAACACATTGCTTCTGTCTGAACATGGAAAATAGCTAACAAAGCTTCGTGTTTCCGTTACGTTGTCTTCAGGTAGATTTACCGATGTCTGAAAACATGGAGCAATTCGTTGAGCTGCCAGTCTCTCCTCTTATTCCGTCACTTCCAGACGATGTTACGCTTGACATCGTAGCTCGTGTGCCAAGAAGCCATTACCCGACACTCTCCCTCGTCTCCAAGAAGTTCAGGAAACTCATTGCCTCTCCTAAGCTCTACAAGAGGCGATCTCAGCTAGGAATCACCCAACACCGTGTCTACGCTATTCTCCGCAACCATGACACGGGTGACTGGCGTTTCTACATCCTTCACCGGAAAATCAACTCTAGAAACCGCTTGGTGGTTTCTTGAGCCTTGAAGTTTTCTATGTCTTCTAATTGTTTCCTCTAGACTTGTTTAGGTTTGCTTCCTCACAATCTTATCTGTAGTTGAATGTATTAGGCTAAGAGTTAGTGTCATATGTATTTCCAGTAGTGTCATATTTTTGTTTCTTTGTGGCAAAAATACTAGAATTTTTTTTTGGGAAAATGTGGAGAAATAGATTTTGATTTGAAAACTAAACCATTGTTTAAGTTTTTTGAAAACTATAGTACACTCACATTTACCAAATTATCCAATCTAGTTTCAAAGATAAGAAGGTGTATTTCGGTATATATGAATTTAATACTATCTTATTATATAAAGAATGGTTTTCCTTTCTCGTGTGATGTCATGTCACTAATTCGTTTAACTTTGGCATTACACGTGTCTTTTACATTCAGATCGCAGTGTTTTATTACGTTATATGCAATCAATTCCTAAATGATTTTATTGGGCTATCATCTGGGCTTGGGAAATTAATTCTTTATGGGTTTATGTATTATTTTTGGTCTATTCTAGGAAACTCCATCGTTTCTGATAAAATCTTCACCGAACCCCTTATCAATTATTCTCTTCATCTTCTTGATTGAGAAAAACTAGAAACTTTTTGCGGTTAGGCGAAGGGTCCTCTTCAACACAGTAATCAACTATTGTCGATTTATCCTTCACTATCTCCTCATTTACTGCTTTCACCAAAAATTTTAACTATAAAAAGTTATGCTTGACCCGTGAAATGCATCAGTTCTTTCTTCTCTTTCTAGACACAAAGGTAATTCCGGCTTCACTATGTAGTTTTTTATTTTTTTATTCTTTATCTGGGTTAGGCATATCTTTGATCATGTCATTATCAAAATTATCAGGGTCTAGCATTGATCATATTTTGAGTATCAAAACTTTCAGCCCTAATAGTTCGTTCAACGGAGACAAATGTGTTCATGTCTTCATTATCAAAATTATTCCCCATAAAATTTTGTTATCTTAAATCATACCACCTTGCAGGGAGAAGCAAGCTAGAAGTTCCTTAGTGTTTATGGCTGTGGAGGTTTGTATGGATATCCTACACCGCAAGGTTCATCATATCTAAAAAGAAGTTTGAACTAAATAAGCATTTGAAAAGGCTGAGCAAACTTGCTGTCAAGAGTATTTTGGTGAGATAGATCTATTATCTTCTTCTTTTTGAGTATTTTCTGCTTGGGCTGATTTTCGTAATTATCATAACCAGGTTTCTATTTCTTTTACCTTTTGATTTTGTTTATTTTTGTTCTAATTGAACAATAAGTTATAACTGAGTCGAGATTTTTTTTTTAACGGTTTATCTAACGAAGTTTAAAAATTTTGGATGTGATTAACAAACCATTGAAGAAGATGTAATTGCATGTGTTCCTATCACAAAGCAATTAGCTTTTGATAATCCCTTACTCAAAGATCACAAAATTCAAGTACATAGAAACAACGTTACTTAGATTTTATTTGGGTGTTCTGTATTATGTTTTAAGTGCTAATGGTTAGTTTACTTGCGCTTCTTCTTTAGATGAAGCATTATTACCATCCCGAGGGACTCTTTGATAATAACAAAGTGTCTTTACGCCGTCAGAAATAGAAGGACATACATATCTCTCAGTTATGGCATATATATGATAAATGTGCCGAAACCATTCCCATAAGAAGACAAAGGAAGAGGATGTCTTTAGAGAAAGTTCATTTAATAGATATGGCAAGAACAAGCATAGACTTTCCCGTTTCCTAAATCTGAGGAACCTGACCTCATGAACCAAAGTGGTCATCAGATGGGTCAAAGTTTTTCTTTTTTTTTGTTGGTTTCTTGATCTGAGATGTGTTATTTGTTTTGGTTTGTTGAACTGTAGCATGTGATAGCTTATGTGGAAGGGGATAATTACTATGGAGCTAAAGCAACTATAAATGTGTGGGAGCCAAAGATACAAAAGTAACATGAGTTCACCTTCTCGCAGATATGGCTTCGTAGTGACTGATTCAGACCTTAACAACATATAAGCTGGTTGGTAGGTACACTCAGTTAATTTTTAGGGAATGTGAATATGATTTTTGATTCTAATGTTCTGTATAATGATTGATGTGTGTGTTTATTACAGGTTAGCCGGATTTGTTTGGTGACAATAATACAAGACTTCACTTATTGGATTGCAGGTTCATGATACTATTGTATAATTAAATTCTTATGGTCATGTGCTTCGGTTCAATATAAGCTAAACTGAGTGAACCTGCCAACCACCGTTTAATCAGCTCTATTACTAGACGGTTCATAGGGGATCTTTCAAGTCTTATTTCTCTATGCAATCACATTTATTGTCGGATATTGTTAGCTCTCCGTTTCTCACATGTGCAACTACAAAGTTCTTTTTAACCTCTTCATTGAAGTGTCATTACATGTTATATACGGGCTCATCTCATATAATTTGCTTATGGATCCTCACAACAGAGGTCCAAATCTTCATGTCTATTACTAGAATTATTAAGTTATCCCAAAGTTATTATACTCTTTTCCATCCTTTCTATTCCTAACCGTAGTTTAATTGTTCAGCAGTTAATTTATAAATCCTACATGTAAGTCCATAACCATAATTATATATAGATATATACAACCAATGTAACAAAACTTATATTACAAAAGAAAATCAAAAGTAATATAATCACTAATTATACCTTGAATATTAAATAATAATAATTTCTTTAAAAAGTCTTAATTATTTTGGATAATATGGTTTATTTGAGAATTTTTAAAACGAAATATATAAATGTTTAAATAGTAATGTGGTAAGTTATCAAGTTGAATGGAAAATAATAAATTTTACTTTTTGCATAATTTAGAACATTAGATTCCAAAGAAAATGTGTAAAATGTATTCAAAGACATATCTATATTAGAGAGGAAAAAAAGATTTGTGTGTTGAATCGTAATTTTAATTCTGAATACTTTTATTGTATTTATTATTATAATCAAGGCAAAACAAGTATTGAGAAATTTTAAATATACATGATTAAAATGAAAAACAAATCTTATTAGTTAGAAACCTATAATTTTAAATAATAATAACAAAAACAAATGGTGATTGTATATTAAAATCACTCTCAGTTGAGAATAAACTAAATATTATTTTAGTTCTTTATTGTTTGGTTATGTTTTGCTTCACTCTAACTTCCTCCAATAAATTACTTGATAAGAATTGTTATGTAACTAAAGTAAAAATCGGCTATATAAGTATATTATTTTATTAATTTATAAAAGGCTATTTTAAAAAATCTAATTTAAAACAGCATGAGAAAACACTCCTAAAAATTAATTTTACTATTAAACAGATTTCAACAAAGCTTAAAATAAGTAACAAAAAATAACCAGTAAAACACTAAAATTTAGTTAATATTTCATTCCAGATATAATTACGATCGGAAACAAATATATTCTAAAATATCATTTTCCTGTTAAACTAAAAAACATTGATTATTAGCTATGATATTATAAAACTATATATAAATTATTTTAAGATTTGAGATTAAATTATTTTTATGAAATTTTATTATATTTTAACTGATTTAACTTGGAGATAGACTACATTATTATCATGAAAGAAATAATTTTTATATCTTCTTTAAATAAATATAGAATTATTTATTTAAACTTGAGATTTCTTTATATCAAATTGAAATAGGGATACTAAATTATATATATTATTAAATTTTCTATTTTTTTTTAAAAAAAAACTTGTATTCTCTATAAATAGAAAATAACGAAGACTATTGTCATTATGATTCAAGCAAAAAATATTTATTAAAAATAGAAATATGATCTTAGAATTATTTTCCTTATTTTTTTGTTTTCTTTTGACTCATCATTATTTATTTATTTATGATTTTGTTTTCAGTCTATATTAATTTTAAATGTTTCATAAAATTAATATAAATTCATATAAAATAGTTTTGTTATGATCCGCCCATATGGCGGGCCAACCCTAGTGTTTGAAAAAAAAGAATTTAATACTGTTATCAATTTTATCATCAGAATTTATTTTATTTTTAAATATACAGTTTCAACAAGAATATAAGATCATAAAACTAATTTTATAATATAGTATTTAAAAAGAAAAAACTATATTTACCAAATATTAAAGTTATGATAGAGTAATTTCAAATTATCCCAAACTTAAGAGAAAAGAAGTTATTTATAGAATTCAGTTTTAGTTTGAAATTTACAGTTTAAAAGTCTTATGGGTTGTTTGGACACGTGATCTTCCTTAACCGGGCCAAGAACATCTTTTTAACTAATATCCCCAATAATTGCGCATTATAGAGAGATCATAACACACTGTAGCTAACATATACACCTTAATTACCCATAGTATCAGAGACAAAGAGTTCCGGTAGCATGTAAGAAAGTCGCTTCCATACGTTGCTCCCTTTTGGCTCCTCTCCTCTTTCAGATATTGAATTTTCTCTTCAAGGTTAGAATTCTCCTTCTTCTTCTTCTTCCACACATCTCCTTTGTTTGGCTGAAGATTTCTATACGCGAATTCTAAGTTTTCCGTGTTTACTTTCTTTCTTTCTGGGTTTATGAAACTGGAGCTTCTAAACACTCGATTAATTAGCTGATCTGTAATGTTCTGAGTGGATAACGAAAAAGTTTTTTTTTTTTTTAAGAGATAGAGAATCGCTTTGATATGGGTTTTATTATAATTTTGAAAACAAATTAAGAGAGGGAAAAAAAGTTTGAGACTTTTTAAATTTTTCGATGTTGGGCTGCAACTTGTGTTTCGTTTACTGTTGTAGCGTTTCCGATGGAACTACTTATTCTCTTAAAGAATTTCAGACCAAGCAAGTTACATATGCTGTCGGAAGCTAGTTTGGTTCTCTAGAAGATTATTGTAGTTTAATTTGAGAATAAAAAAAATTTGTATCACTTGAGAGTTTAGCAGTTTCGGTTTTGACCAATTTGCTCTTTTCTTTCTCAATTTCTTCTCTTGGTAGCTTCCTTTTGCTCCGATATAGAGTTGAGCTTATTAGTACTCTAATGCATGTCAAATGCTCTAGCTTTAACCCTTTGGTTTCTGCTGTTACTTAACTTAATGGTTTCTTACTTAATGACCCAGCTTGATAATCTTTTCACTAGTCAGATCTGATTTGTCAATTAATTGAGTAGCTTTGTGGTTCTTGATTACACTTTGGTTGATGTTTGTATGGACCAAAAGAAATGCAGAAACGAAAAACCTCTTTTGTCTGATATATGATTAATCCTTGGAACTTAGTATGTCCTTTATATTCCTCAGGTGAAGTAAGAGATGAAGCGCATGTTTTCAGAAGTAGAACTGTCTCGAGACGTGGCTATACCTGCCAAACACTTGAAGGGCCATTCGCCACCACACCAACATATTCTAACCAAACTACTCCAAGATCTGGTACAAGAGAAAGCATGCAGAGAACACGGGTTCTATCTTGCCATCACCGCCTTAAAAAGCATCGGTAACATCAACAACAGCACAGAAGATGACAATCCTCAAGCAGACGTCTTCACATTCCCTGTATCCTTCACTTGCCGCACATTCTTGCCTGCACGAGGAAATATCATGGTGGGGACCGTAATGAAACTCTTGTGTAACGGTCCTAACGGAGCTGCTACAGCAGTTTTGATAAGTTCTGGTCCACTCAGATACGCATTCTTATCGCACTTGAAAATGCCGGATTACCATTATGTCCCGCCCAAGTCGGAGGAGGAAGAGCCGTGTTTTCAGAAAGATGATCTCACCAAGATAGCTGTTGGAGTTGTTGTGCGGTTTGTGGTGTTGGACCGTCGGTTTAAGGTGAGTCCAGAGAAGAGAAGAACCGATGTTTACGTTCTGGCCTCTGTGGAAGGTGATGATACACTTGGTCCAGTCTCTCTTACAGGGTGTGATAGGCCTTATATATGATTGTTGCAAGTCCCAAAGTAACCCAATGTTGTAGTCTTTTGGGTTCCAAGTTATTCTCACTCTCATTGGGTTCTTTCATGATAGTTCTTTAGTATAGGTGAAGGAACTCATCACTCATTAATGTACACAAAGTTTCTCACTTTTTCCTCTTTCTCTGATCTTCTTCCAACGAAAACCCAAAATTCATATTAAAGATCAGATACCAAAAAGATTGTCATTGAAACTGATCTCTTAAAGTTGTAGTCTGAGATGTGATTCTCTTAAAATGCTATAGTACATCTTGTTCTTGATTCTGCAACAGTCATGAAGTGGGATATAAAAACAGTTAAATGTAAACAATGCACTCTTACATGTTAGTGTACTATTGTGAATAAGACATTTGTCATATTAATACTTAAAAACATTACTATGTAATCCTAGAAACTCGAAAATTAAAATTGCTCTTTTGATCATCTTCTTCACTTTTGTTCTAAATTTTGCTCTAGCTAACAAACATTCACAAATCTTCCTATCCAAGTTAAACATAAAACATTTTTAAGAATTTTTTTTATAAAATTTAGCTTTTCATAATTTGAACTTTTTGCCTATATAAAAACCACTATAAATTTTGGGACTATATAAAAACCCTAGAGGTTCTACTGTATGTGAAAAAGCATTGTTAATGTAATCCTAGAAACTCTGAAAAATAAAATTGCTCTTTTGATCATCTTCTTCACTTTTGTTCTAAATTTTGCTCTTGCTAACAAACATTCACAAATCTTCCTATCCAAGTTAAACATAAACATTTTTTTAAGAACTTATTTTATAAAATTTAGCTTTTCATAATTTGAAGCTTTTGCCTATATAAAAACACTATAAATTTTAGGACTTAATACCAACCAAGATCTCACACAAGGAAATTGCGTTCTAGATGGTCTAGTCCCTTTACCGTCAAAGAAGTTAGACCCTACAGAGCCATCGTGTTGGTTAGCTATACGGAAGACGAATTCCTAGTAAATGGACAGAGAGTAAAACATTAATTTACTAACATCATATCCACAATATTGCAAGCAACATCGAATCAATGCAGATATGAGCATATCTTACGGCATATTTGAATTCCTAGAGTGAGAGTCCATCTGTGGGCCACATCATCCTTTAGGAAATTAGTATGAGTCTTTCAATGGACATAAGATATCCCCAAGGTTTAGAAAAAGGAATCGCGATGGGCGATGGAGATGCGGTGATGGCTTGGGAGAGGAAGAAGAGTGGTAAGCGAAGTAGATGCAGAGGAAGAGAGAGTTGAGGAGTAGCATGTAGAGGAATATCTCCACGATTTCGCTTACTCATCATCTCTCTGGTTTTCTTGATTTGCACTTTTCGAGAATAGATGGAACTGGATTTTCTATTTTTAGATTTTCATCAATTTCTCTCTCTATCCTAAGTCAAATCAAATAGCAGTGATATATTTATTTTTTAAATTTAAGTAAATAATTTTAAAATAGTATTTATAAAACAAACACCCAATAAAACTGAATTACCAAAATACTTTTTATTTGGAATATTTTAAATTATTTGAATTATGTAAGTTTTTATTCTCTTCAGCAATCAGCTTTTCCTCTTCAGACATGAAGAGCTGTGTGTAGCAGAAATCTGTGTATTCAACATAGCTGAAGAGCTTTGCCTTCTTGCACATTAAGCGCTTGGCAAGCAAGAGCGTATTTTGGCTTCTCTCCTTCTCAACTTACTTTCTTGATTTGGAGAACTCTGATTGTCATCAAGGTGTTGGAGGTATTCTATGGCATTATATTAGTAATACACGAGGTTTTAATTCTTATTACTTTTCTTCTCTGGCGAATAAGAAAATACTGCCCAACAAAAGAATTACTGAAAACTCTCTCGGCGTAAGTAAGACATAATTTATAGACTCATTTTTCCTAATGTCATACCTGTATCCAATAAATTGACATCTAGCCCACTCTTGCACATCCGCTTGAATTTCCATCTAAAACAGTTGCAACCAGTAGCACTCCTTTGAATTTACTCTTCAAGAATGTTCCATCAACAACATTAACACGTCTCATGAGTTTGTTAAAGCCTCTAATTGATTGACCAAACGCTATAAAAAGATAGAGAAATCTACCACTGATATCAGTCTTCTAGGAGGAATGTGTACCAGGATTGGCTTCTTTCAGCATGTGCAAATACTTTGATATTTTCCCATAACTTAGCTCTGGAATACCTCTGATAGTGTTGACTGCAAATTCACGGGAATCCCATGCTAAAGATTTAGAGATCTCACATCAATAATCATTACGCATAATCTGAACAATATCTTTTGCTTTAGGCCATTCTTTGACACCTTCATATTTATGCATGATCAATCCGCCTATAGTTTTCGCTGAATCTGTTTTGCCTGCTCTAGTTTTGGTTGAAGGTGCGCAAGAATGTATACCGACATACTTCTTAATAATAAAATATGTAGAGCCTTTTAAACACTCAGCTGGAACACTCCAATTGCAAATCTTATCAGAGCATCTAATACACCAAACTGATTTGTTGGATTTGATAACTTTGTAGTCAAAATTATGTTTCATTGCACATAACTCAAATCTCTCGTCTTTAATATTGCTTTGTTGTGGAAAAGATCTTCTTTCTTAACCAACTCGATCACAGAAGTATTTGCCAAATTTTCTCTGTTTTCTTTTTCAGAGAAGATGGTGTTAGCAACATAATCATCTCCATCAACATTTTCTTGCTTCATCTTTCCTTTCTTCTTCTCCTTGTGATTGTCAGCATCATAATCATATCCATCAGTCTCGCCTTGCTTCATCTTTCCTTTCTTCTTCTTCTTAGGTTTAACCTTCTTAACATTATTTAAAGCGCTTCCATTGTCACAAGGATTTCGTTCCTCCTCTTCACCAGTACGTGAATCAGTTGGCATCTTATTAAGATCAATGTCGGTCTTATTTGGATTCACTTGCTTTGGTTTATAGGTAACACACAACTGAGATGACTGATGGTTCTTACAAAACCCTAGAAAATTATGAACTTGGCATGAGTTTCCAATGATCACCGGTGGACATTCTGATGAATTGATCAACCCAATAGGTACATAACTCAATTCCAAATTGGCATCACTTTCTTCAAAACCGAAATCCTCAACAATTTCCTTCTGTAATTCTTCCAAAGAGCACTTCAATTCTAAAGAAAGTAACCTTCCCCCTTTCTTTTCATCAACAAAAAAACTCCAACCTGAAGCTACAACAAATTCCCAAAAACTACATGAAGCATATATATGAATTGTGGGAACCGAAATTCACCTACTGTAAAAAAATCGTAAATAAGGGAATTTAGAGTAAACCCTAATTTCCCAGAGGACCCGGCTATCTGCGGAACCGCACAAGAACGATTAAGAAAACGATGAATGCGAAATAAAAGTATTGAAAACGAGAATGAGAGCAAGAATGATCTTATTCTGAATTTGCGTAAGAACGTTACAACAAGAGTAGCCTTAGCTGCGTGAGCCTTCGGCGAGATTCCTAACCCTAGCAATCTGAGACTAAAACCCTAGTTGAGACGCAGCTTGATAACAAAAATGGAAAGTTGCCTAAATGCTAAGTTTGGTGGTGAATGCTCTGAGAAATCGTCCCTTTCTTATGTCCTCTGCATCTTGCTTATATACTCCCTTCCTAGGCGGTTTAGTCTTTCCATTTCACCCATATTCGAGTTTATCAAGAATCTTCCATTTATCTCGATATTTCCTTTTTCCCGCGGAAATCTTCTATTTATCTTCAAACTTGCCATTTATCTTCGAATTTGACATTTATCTTCGAATTTGACATTTATCTTTTTTCCTATGAATAAATCATCAAAACGTCGTAGTATCTTTGGGTTGGATTTCGTTAAAATCGCGAGTGGGCTTTTATCGCGTTTTAGGACTTCCCGAGCCGTTTAGCGATAAGAAACCGTTTTATGACTTTAGACGAGATCGTTTCCTGATGCGATGCCGTTTTAAGTAAGTTTCTCGAGTTAATCGTAAAGTTTGGCAATGTCTGATGTTTCAGTTTATCATTGCCGTTTTCTACGATTCACTCGACATTTTTATTAAAAACGCGTTTTTTATGATTTCTCACGAAAAACCTCGAGTAAATCGTATAGTTTAGGAAATGTTCGGTGTTTTATTAACCGTTTCCATTTTATACGATTTCCTTGAGTTCTTTCGAGAAAACAAGACGTTTTTACGGCTTTTATCGTAAAACTCGAACGATAAGACGGATCGAGACGAAACGAGAGACATTCCGAGCGTGGTTTTAAACACGATCGTGCCGAAGGAAGTATGACTTGATTCGAGGACGTGGGAGATCGAGGCTCGGGATAATTAGCTCGACGTACGGTGAACCCAACCGGACTGGTTCAACTCGCCGTACGGCGAGCTATTGTTGGTCGAGATACGGCGAGCTAGCTCGAGGCCACTTAGCTCGTCGTACGGCGAGCTAGTTTAGCCGAACCAGCTCGCGTTTTATGACGGTTACGGTTTTTCGCGATTTTATGCTTAACTAGGAAGATCGTGTAATCGGTGTTTGTTTCGTTCTTTCGAGATAACGATTTCCAAGTTTTCCGCGGATTTCCTTTGTTCGGAAATGATTCCTCGAGTTTTATAAAACGACTTCTCGGGTTTTATAAAACGATTTCTCGAGTTTTATAAAACGACTTCTTGGGTTTTATAAAATGATTTCTCGAGTTTTATAAAATGATTTCCCGGTTTTTATAAAACGACTTCTCGAGTTTTATAAAACGACTTTTCAAGTTTTATAAAACGTATTTAGTATTTTTTATGGGAAGTTTTGGCCATTGATTTCGTCGTACCGATTTTGACCCCAACAGTTAGCCCCCCAGCTCGTAAGAATCGTGGAGTTCTTGCGAGTGGTTTGAACTTGTTGGGCAAGTTTGGTAGAATTAGGCGAAACTTTAATGGCCAAAAGTTCAAATGTGAATAGTAAAAAATTTCCTTATAACTATATGGAATGAGTCCCAAGTTCTTTCTTAATTTATAACTTATCTTAGGCTTTAAAGAGTTTACTCTCTCGACTCTTCCTTTGAATCTTCTCGTGCATCAATTTTTGACCCGAGTGACCTTGACGTTTCCGACGGCTGTACCCTTCCCAGGCCAATCTTCCAGCGTTCTTTCACGAGCGAGGCAGATT